GAACCCAGCAGACTTCTTCAGAGCGAACAGTGAAAAGTGTTCAGTAGGCACAAGTGGAAACTATTTAAAACTGAGAACAGGAAGTTTGGATTAAGAAAGTATGGATTAAGCTATCCAGTCATGTGGTGTTGTCAAAACTGGTTTCTTTCATGAAATGGCTGGAGGAGATCCGTGGATCGGCTAGCTACCGAGTATGAAAGGAGTTAGAAAAGGCTGAATGGCTGCTCTTGCCTGCATTTTTGTTCTTATGTTTAAGGTAAGAGGTGTCCCTTTTCAGCACAGTGGCTTGAAAGAGGATCCCCGGACTAAGTGCTGTAGCTTGGTGCACCTGGTGCACACTTCAGAGCAGCCTGTGTAAAACTGACATGGCTGCATTCATGTGGTCACGGTCAGCAGCACTACGGTGTATCCCAGTATACTGTGTATATGTATATAGAAATATTCCAGTAATAACTCAATTTACAGTTAAAGGTATCTGCACATATAGTTCCAGTTCCTGTGCCAGCAATGACGTTGTGGTCCCTATCAAGCTGATTCATCTAAAAGAAGTGTTTTATACTCAGTGTAATTTCCTGTTTTTTTTCTGCTTAGCTGCAAGTACAGTGATTTTAAAAGTGAATCTCCACTGTTGGAGCTTTTCTTCAGCATCTTTCTGGAAGAATCCTTAGCACTGCTAAAACTCAGGATTCTGGGAAATCTTCCCAAAAGGGCGGATTAGCCTCCAGTGGGTCAGAAAAGCCCACGGAAAGTGGGGCGAAATAGTGTTCCCCTCGCAATCTCCTGACACACACAAACCCCCAGAAGAGTTTTCTAAAAGCTGTTCTGAATTTTTTGTAACCTGAGCCAGTTTCACAAGGGGATAAAAAGACGGCTCTCGGAAACAGCCCTGAGAGGGCGCAGATCAGCCTTCTGCACGATCGCCTGCATCAGCCCCCACACTGCGCACCGGTCAGTCCCCTCGAGGAGCGGGTGTGTTTGTGCTTGCTCTGTTTTAGGCTTCGATTTCGATAAACATTCACTCTATATAAAAGGTAAAAGTTCATTCCATGCTGAAAGGGAAAAAAAAAGACACACCTTCTTCAAAGCTCCACAAATGTTGTGTATCTTTTCTTTTCAGTGCGGAATAAATCTTTACCTGTTCCTTTCCAGCCTATGCATGCTGACACTGCTCCCGACTTGAAATTCTCTGTATATAAAGTGCTGCTTGTTCCTATATTGGACCTGTGAAGCCTCAAGGGTAGCCAGTCATACTGTCAGGTTCAATGGCCTGGTCACACCTACTGCTCACACTCATCTACTGCTCACACTCATCTATTGCTCAATCCCATCAGCTGCTCACTCTCATCTACTGTTCACACATTCATCTACTGCTCTCACACTCAAGTACTGCTCACACACGCCTACTGTTCACACATTCATCTAATCCTCATATATTCATCTAATGCTCACACACTCATCTTCTGCTCACACACTCACCTACTGCTCACACTCATTTACTGCTCACACACTCCGGCCTGGTGCGGAGGGTTGCATCATCCAGATTCCCTTTCCTACACGAGCCCCAAAAAACAGAACGCTAAAGTGAAAATGAACATTGCAAAGACACCTTTTTTAACAGAACAAAAAAGAATCACCTTTCACTGCATTGAAGTACGCCTTCACATCTTTGTACAGCTTGCTGCCGTCGCTCTGCAAGGAGAAGGAGAAGCGGCGTTACTTCATGCGAACAGCTGGAGCATGGCCACACAGAACAGCTGGATAGCTTCTCTGTGCGGAAGACGGAGGAAGGGCGTGCAAGTGTGCTCTGTCCACCAGTGGAACATCGGCTCTCTTACACTTCGAAGATATGGCAAGTGTTCCATGTCCAATTCACAGAGTCGAATTCAGAGTGTGCAGAGATGGAAGGGAGACAAGAGGATGTCTCTTGTGGGTTTGGATTCTGAACTGTTTTTATGTAGAGTCCTTGTTTTTGGTTTTTGTGTGGAAATGAAAAACACTGGAATGGTGTTTCAGACTGTTGATTGAACACGAAGACTTTTCCTTTTGGCCCAATCTGCCTCCAGAGGTGCCCTCAGCTTCCTCGAGGTGCTGCCAGGTTTCACCTTTAGTATGGCTCCATGGATCTGTACTTGTTCCCCAAAGCTGCACTTAGAATTCTCAAACCGTATCTTGCACAAGGCGCTTTGACAGTAAAGAGTGCATTTATGGGCAGAGATCACTACAGCCCTTGCCTGGTGAAGTAGAGACACTGCCCGGAGACACGCCTCATTAACTTTAATAAATACCACAGATACAGAAACAGCCAGAGGAATAACTGCATGCTCTAACAAGGACAGGGTTTCAAACTGAGTGCGTCTTGCAGAAAAAGACACCGGACTGGAATCGTCCGCAGTCCTCCACCAGTCTGTTGGCCACGACAGGAGTCTCACTGAAGCAAGGCTTGCAGCTAGTCGACGTGTACCGTCAGCCCAGACAACACATCGGGTCGTTCTGGTGGGGATAAACCTCAAAAACTAGCAGCCCCACTTATTAACTTATTGATCTGTTGTCCTTGTATTGATCCACTTATTGATCAAGGGGAGCTGGCCTAGCCGGTTGATGACTGATCCTAAATTGCCAGTTTTTCACTTCTTATTTAGCTTTGCTAAAAGCTGTTTGGCACTGAATGGTTTCCAAGAGCTGTACCTTCTATTATATCCTCTGGAAAGAAACACATCTCTCTCACCCAGAACAAAGGAACAGCGATGTGTGGACAGACCAGTTCAGGAACCAGAAGATTTGCCTGCACTTCTGCTTTAAGGGTCAAGACGGACAGGATAGGCAATCAGAAGGGTAGCTGAAGAAGAGGACATGTCCCTTCATCACATCAGGCAATGCCTATAGAACGAGCACGTTCACGTTGGCAGATCGTGGCATTAGGACAGTCGGGTGCAGAAACAAAAAAGGGTTTAAACCGCAGCAAAGCGAAAGCAAACAATCTGAGGGCTGAAGGCGGAGGGAAAGCACCTACACCAGCGTCCTTCCCGTTTTCGCACACTGTGAAAAACAGACACGTGAGAC